CTGTAGCGTCTTCATTGGGTAAAAGGGATCCTTACTGCACTCATTGATATCGACGAAAATGACATCGGGCGATGAAACTATTTTTAATAAGATATAAACTAAGATGAAGAAATAAGAAGTCACGAGTAAAGTTTACAATACTGAAATACTGAATTGATATCTACTGAACTGCTTATTGCTTAAATTATGATACTGAATACCAAATTATGTTATTTATAGAAATGTTATGCCCTGAGTTATGATACTAAAATAAAAAATTTTGAATGTTTACTGAATGAACTGATTTAGAAGATTTGGTGATTGAGTGTGTGCATGTCTTTGTTGTGGGCACTGCCCCTTTTCTTTACTGAGTCTGTGAAGTTCACCTCAATTCACATCCCCCAATACAGATTAGTTCAAATCAAGAATAAATTTAAGGTCGAATGAAGACTTTGAAGAATCTTTAGTGACAGTAAGAATTCGTATTGTAAAGTCAGTTTAATTATATTATAGCGATGTAATGTAAAGGATCTTATAAGTCTCATGTCTTATAATTTGGTATAGGGATGATTGAATTTTAGGTTTTTGTTTATTGCTATGTAAGTTTATCACTATATGTGTGGAGTAGCGCTCATTTCTCCATGAAAAAAGTAAGTCGTTACAATTATTTTATTCCTTAGTTAATTTTATTAATAAATTAAATTTTAATTTCATTATTTACAATATACTAATATATCTGTTAAGAAAAAGTCATCAAGATAGTCATCCATAAAGGAATGAGTTCTATTTTTTTCCTTTTTTTGGGGATAAATGAATTAAACCAAAAAATTTTGTAGGAAGAAGTTGATAAGAGTGAGGTTAAAATTCGAGCGATAGAACATATACTTCATAATAATATAAGGAGATATGATTTCATTATTTAACCATAATTTATAGTAGTACAACAAACTATAATCTTCCTTATTTTTAACTGATCATAATAGTCGACCAGCAATAGTTTTGGAAGATTAATAACATTTTATGCTGCAACTCATAATATGAAACATACGATAGAGTCACATCGATTCAAATGTTAAACAACATTATTGAGGAAGTCAGTAAACCACAAGGCCGATGCTTTGGGTTTTCTATCTGATGGATCACTGTAATTTACATAGTTTAACCCAAACCGTACTGTGAATCCTTGAACAAATTCGTAGTTATCTAATAACGACCATGCAAAATATCCTGCAACATTGCTTCCTTCACTGCACATACACAAATAAATGAAAGAAATTATATTTATTATAAAATAGTTTTAATTATATATTTTTATGTGTACAAAAAAACATGTTTTTGTGCCTTGAAGAAAGTCTTTATCTATGTTTCTTACAGTAATTAAAGAGACTTACGCGATAGCTTTTTTAAGGGCTAAAAGATGAGTTTTGTGGTAATCAATCCGTCCCACATCAGCTAAAGTTTCATTAAGTGATATCGTGCTACTATCAGCATAACCTAAAATCGAAGAAATCTTGCTTGTTATATACTTAAAAGAATACTTAGATATATATTCATCAATATAAATATATTAATGAACCATTAAAGAAGTGAATCATACCATTTTCTGTAATGTAGGTGAGAGGATTGTTGTACTTATTTCTCAAGTAAGTCAAAAGATCATAAAATCCCGTTGCATTGTAATAAAACAATGTTGACTGCAAAGTTTTAATTTGAAGTTACACAATAGTTAAAATAACATTAATGTGTGTGTCGTCTATACCACATACATATTTGGTTAATTTAATTAATATATCATTATGTTTCTTACATTTATACCAATTGGAACACCGTCACGAACATCTGTAATAGTAAGATTCATACAAAGTTTAATTAGTACATGATAGCGTTATCATGAATAACGAATACCTAATGTTAACATCTGACTCTTACAAAAATATATTAAATTTTGATAAGCTTTAATAAACTACGTGTATGTATGTATATATATATAATTATTTGTACTTACTTGTACAAATAATTATTTATACTGTAGTATTATAATTATTTATACTTACTTGTAGTTCCAAATCTTCCGTCAGTTAAAACACTTGGTTTTGTGGGATCAGGTGCACTTGTATCAAATGCATATAATGGAAAATAATAATTTAAGCCAAGAAAATCAATTGATCCTTTAAGGAGTTTAGATTCCCATGGAGCGAATTGCGGTAATCTTTTGCCAACTAACTTCTTCATAGATGATGGGTAGTCACCAAATATTATTGGGTCCAAAAACCTATCAAATATTAGAAAAAGAAAAATTAGGACCACTATTGATCTTTTGATATAGTGTATTTGAAACATATATATACATAGAAGTTTTTTTTTTTTCTAACAATAATTTTATATTTTAAATTCATATTATTACATTACTTCTTTATATTGATCCTACTAGGACCTATTTAGTTTTGGAGGATGTTAACTAATTACCATCCAAGCTTGAAATCTTGAGCTCGTTGAGCAGCATTAGTATCAGCAACTGTGTTCCTCAATGGATAATACCAATTAGCTATCAATGTGATACCTATATTTCCTTTTTGAGTTTTCTGCAACATCAATAGGTTATACAAAAATATTAGTAGTAAAAAAAAAAAAAATCATTTACTATAAAGTAAATAAGTCTTCTTGCGAAATATGTAAGACTATATACAATTTTTCATTATTATAACATATTTTAACAGTAATTAATTTTAACCTTATATTCTCTTCTATATAATTGAACAACTTCTGCATGGGCAAGAAGTTCATGATAAGCTACAATATATGGTTCGGTTCCTGAATCCCCTCCCTGTACAATTTATTATTCATCCATGCAGAACATCTTCCGGGTGCTTGTTCACCTTTCCCATAAGCATTAAACGCAAGGCTGTATGGTTGATTAAATGTTATCCAGTACTTTACTTTGTTACCAAATTCCTTAAAGCAAAGATTTGCGAAATCCCTATAATGTAACCTGATATCACAAAAATATCAGCTAGTGGTTAGTGCAAGATCTCAAAGTATTTTGTTAATTATTTCATAGCCCAGTAAAAGTTCATAAAATTCTTTCTTCTTAACTTCATTCTTTGTATAAAATTTTAAAACTACTTACACAAAATTACGATCTAATAGCCCGTCATACATGTCCTCTAAAGTTTGAGGGAGATCCCAATGAAAAATAGTCACAAATGGTTCAATATCTGTATTTAATCACAATATAATTAAAAATAAGTATTATGAAAATAGAAAAATATTTTTATTAAATACAAATTTAATGAAATCAAGTCACAACCATTAGATAAGAGTTCGTCGATAAGATTCTTGTAGTACTCAATCCCCTCTTTATTTATTCCACCACTTATCCTTCCCTCTGAAAATGGTATTAATTGTTGAGAAAAAACAAAATTATGTTAGAGAAACTTGTCAAGAAATGGTAGCCATAAAAAATTCTCATGATCTCCATTAAAAAAACAATATTGATTTTAGTTTTTATTTTTATGTAATTATTCACTTTTGTTACAAATTGTACTTACTTGGCAATATTCGAGACCAAGCAATTGAGAACCTATAGCCATTGACACCCATGTTTTTCATCATTTCAACATCCACCTATTGTTAAAAAAAAGTTAGTAATATAAAAAATCATAGAACTTCAATTGGCTTTTCAAGATCTTTTTTTTTCTTTACAAGTTGGTACTACCTTATAAAGATGGTATGAATCAGTAGCTTGATCTGCATCCCTTCCATCGCTCGACTTTTCTGGAATTGAAATAATTTATTTATATATATTGATAAAAAAGTATAATAATAATTTTTTTTCTCAAGAGATTATATATGTAAAACTATTTACCTGGATATCTGTGGGTGAAACTATCCCATATGTTAAATGCTCTATGTGTCACACCCTCAATCTAAACAAAAATAAATAAATAAATAATCAAATCATATTATATATGTATATATATAATTTTTCTATTATTTTAATAAAATTCTTAATTTTTAAAAATTTATCAAATGTAAGTGCTTAGATTTATAAACACGAACTTATACAAGTTTTAAACTAAATAAATCACAATTAAGTAAAAAAGAAGAAAATATATTTTAAAATAGCAGGCTAAAAAATTTTCTATATCTTTGTGCAAAGATACCTGAAAAGCTGACGTAGCAGTACCAAAAATAAAATTATTAGGAAAATCACGGCGATTCAAATCATTCTCATCAAATATCTTATAAGAACCTATGTCCTTATAATTAATGATAGAGAATGGAATGTTACGAGCTCCATTGATACACACCAATAACCCAACGAGAACTAGAAGGAATAGATATCGAAACCCTACTTGAATTGCCATACTTGATTTTTTTTGCTTGCTGTGAGTCCTTTGGTCCCAAAACTGGCCTTTATATAGTTGCTGGAGCTCCTCTCCGGAAGAAATCTTTACAATTATTTTATTTACAAGTAAATATCAGCTAATGCATGTGAATGAAAATAAAGTTTTTAATAATTTTTTAAGTGTATCATTTCTTGGAGATGACACTATCGACATTAAGATCATTAAAAACATGTGAAGAAAAACAAACAAATTAAGCTGCAGATCGCAGCCTCTTGAGCAGCAGAAAATAATTAAATATTGATGTGAAAAATTAGTATTATGATTTTATTGATAATTCACCTAACTACCAAAAGATAGGGTTTTTTTAAAGATAGTATATTTTGGCTGAAAATAAAATTGCTCGGGACAACGAAAGAAGAAAAAAAAAATTTAAAACGACCAGCTGTAACAACGAGCAAAATTGTCGCTAAAATAAACCAGTCTTCAAAATGCATGAGAAAAACTGAAAGCAAAAGAACTGCAACTGTACATTTCCTTAGCACAACATCTTTTTTTGTTGCTAAGTATGAAGAGTGATAAAAAATTTTGGTTCGAATCAGAGTAGTAAATTAATCTCATAATGTATATAATAAATTAACTGTAATCGTTCAAATTTTCATTTCCAGCTCGCTGCTCGTTGAGTTTCGTTTTAGCTTTTGTTAGTTTTTTTTTTTTTAATCCCCTTTGTTTTGTGTATTTTGCTGGTGTTCTTATTATGTTGTATTATTTAAAAATATATGAACTAAATCGAACAAAAGAATTGGTACAGGGGTTAAGAATGTGCATGCAGCGAAGGAAACAATATTTGAGAATATTTTAAATGGTTGTCGGTATGCAAGTATGAATTTATCCAAACATTCACAAAACATTGCAGTTTAAATTATGTCAATTAGAGAGCAAACAAAGAGATGGTTTATTGATTTTCTCAACAACCATTTTAGCTTTTAGAAATTTCAACTACTAAAACTTAGAAAACCGAACATACTCTCATGCAAAATTCATAGATTTTATAAAAATATTTTTATCTATGAAATATTATACGGAGTAATTAAAAAATTTTATTTAATATTTTAAAGACGAACGAATATTTTAGCTTGTTTAAGTATCCTAGAATCAATTTAAAATTTTTATGTTCAAATATCAAAATTTATTTTTTAAGATTTAAAATCTTTTAATTTCGAAACATATCCAAGTCGTCTTTCAGTAATTAAGAATCATTTTGCAAACTATTCAGCTCCATAAGTACTAACCTTATCTTAGATTTGATCTAACTTGAACTTTCCTAATTCTACAAACAAAAACCTTGTCTCTGATATGAAATTTTTACTCCAAACAATAGATTCTTCATTCTCGAGAGACAAAGCTTGAAATCTTTGCTATAAAAGCTTCTTCAACAAAAAAAATTCAAATATTTCTTAGCAATTATTCATATTTCTTCGATAATTTAAATCAAAATTAAATATGTTAACAATATCTTGGAAATTTTTTGTGAGAGAAAATTCATTTCATTCAATATTCAACCAAACATACAACCATCTTGCAAAAACAGGTGAGCCAAATAAGTAAGTAGACTTTGGAAAAAAATGAATGATATTAGAAACATAAAAAAAAATAAATAAATAAAAATAAATTAAAAACTTCTTTAGAAAGTACACGAGCTATTTGATTAATAGCTCACGATACTTAGCTGATTGTGATCGCATTCATCATTTGAATAAGGGCTCTTACATCCCCCCTAAGAGACTAATCTCAAAATTTGTCCTTAAATAGGATATTAACTGTAAAAATGAAAATGATATCAATCTTCCAATCATACCATATACTAATAACTAGTTATCCAAAAGTAAAGGTCTACATTTCATTAATCTTTGTTGTGCATGGAATATGAATCCTTTTCCACGCCTATAAAGCTTATAACTCCAAAGCAAGCTTGACACATTATATTAAATCTTGTCTATTATCATTAAAGCATCAGAGTTTATTTTGAAGAGACCTGATTATGGCATCCTATAGAAATATTGATTGCTTATTGGGTTGAGGTAAGGACAAGTACGTAACGAGCTCCTTCTTTTAAGAGGTATGCATTTCATGGATCAATCTTTTAATTTTTGAGCTAGTTCTAGATGGTTGGCCCATTTGTTATTATGAACCCACTAATTTATTACCTATTATAATTCCCAAAATATGAACATAAACAACATATACTGTGGGACCGAAGCATAGACAATTTTGATTCTAACCAGTACTACAATAATAATTGAGGAGATGATACTTGGAAAAATGGGCAAACTCTCCACATAAAGGAGAAACAATCTCCTTACATTCCTAAAAACATAAGGGAAATTGTGTTAAGATGGATACATTTGGAAGCAAGTCTTATGCTTAGTGGTAGAAATTTTTGCAAGATTGTCAAACCAAGTGTTTAACAGAGATAAAGTTCTTTTGTAATTTCATCCAATTGTAGGAGCTTGTGAATTAACAACGATGAAGTCACCATTTCATCTCAGCCAAGCTCTATGATAAACTGATCGCACATTGTATTCACCATTTATTATAAAAGGTGAACTATTTTATCACGTAGACTTTACCTACTTAATGGTATAGTTAATATGTGAGCAACCTTTTAAGGATAAGCAAGAGTTTAAAGAGGTATAAATTGCAAGCTGGACCCCTTGGGAGAATGAGATCCTCGAAAAAGTTAATTGTTACAAATCAACCTTGGAATTTAAATTATGTCGTTGATTTGGTAACAGTTTGTCCTCTCGTATGTTAATAGGATGCCAATACGACACTCGCCACCTTATATCTTTATGTAATTCTTGACTAACCAATAAAGCTTGTTAATTGTAATTGGGTTTAATACCTTTTAGACTAAAAGAAAATCTCCATTAGAAAGTATATTGCTAAAAGAACCTTGAGTAGAGATTCACCTTGATTTATAAGTTGCCAAGCTCGTTTTGCTGGCACTGCATGACTATAACCTTAAAAATATTGAAAGCCTAATCTCCCTTGGAAGAGTTTATATGATTTAAGGCTTTGATGCCCTAATGAGCATTGTGTGAGTTCTAGATTATATTATTGATTCTGAATTCTGCATCATTTGATATTAAAGTTCAGACTCCATATAAACGTCACTATCCTTTATATTTATTCTTTACTTTCTTGCATCGTTATCATCATCCATATAAATCTATATATATATAAACCCAAACAAGAAGTGATAACTTGAAGCTTTCTTTGGTTTTTACTTTTCCATTGAGCATATAGCTCATCATGACCATCATTTGAATTTTTTTCATTTTTTGTGACTATGTTTCTTATTTAATCAAAAAAAATAAAAAAATAAAAAGAATGAAAGGAAATAAAGGAAAGAAATCATGATCAGTCAATGCACGAATCAGGAAAGTACTTACCTTTTGTGCTCAACTACACTTTTTAATAGCAGTGCAAGGTCGATCTCTTCAAAGTAAACTTTATTTTTTTTTTTACCTAAAAATCAACATGCATCCATACTTACACATCTCATTAAACACAAGACTTCATCATCATTATAGAACATAGCATACATCGGAAATAAAATTTTAAAGCCATCTTCGATTTTCCTCCTTAGGGGCAAAATTGAATCCATATATCATTCTCCATAATTATCATATGCATTCTCAGTTTCTTTTGTTCTTTAAGCTCTAGGTCCAAGACACATCTAACCATTTAATTTGCATTCTAGTGCTTAGCATAACATATAACATACTTACCCTTACTCCTTGTATTAACACTTTTAGTCCTAGTACTTGTGTGGTATATTTTTTCCATAAGGCTCTTTGCAGTGTGTTAAAACTATACTTGAATATCCTTATTGAATAGGACCCTATCAGGCACTCAACTTATAGGCAGAAGACTCAGTGGTAAAAGACAAAAGTGGGTGAACTCATTAAAGGGTAAAAGTCGAGTGAGTGAAACATGAAAGACATGGTAAATGAGTGATTATTTCTTTCCACTAAGACTATTCTTGCAGGACAAGTGTTAAAAATGTCTAGTGAAAATCAAAGTCTCGCCGATATGAGACTATTCATGGAGGTGATACAAGTCGAACTAGCATGACTTAGCCAAGTAGTGGAATGCATGAGGAGTAGACAAAGTGAAGTGATATATGAGACTCCTAACATTTGATGGCCTAAAATCTGAATCCCTGATGATGAGGCCGAGTCTTATAATGGTTATGAAGACAAAAATCAGGTTAGGAGGAGAAAAGATAGAAGAGACAATAATATCAGCTCCATCGAAATGAAGACACCACCCTTCAAAGATAAGAATAATGTAGAAGCCTACTTGGAATGGAAATAAAAGTAGAGTTAATCTTCAGCTACCACAATTACAGTAAAAAAAAAAGGATCAAGCTAACAATTGTATAATTCACTTATTATACTCTAGATTAGTAGGATCAATTAATCCTCACCAGATGACAAAATGGGGAATAACCAGTTAACACCTGGAGAGAGATAAAAATCGTCATGTGAAAAAGGTTTATACCCTCTTTCTCAGAGATTGCAATGTTTAACGTATCGATCTATGTCTGTTGAGGACTATCACAAGGAAATGGAGACAGCCATGATTTGGGCTAATATCAAAAAAGATCACGAGATAACCATAATAAGGAGATTGCCAACATTATCGAATTACAACACTACATGGAGTTAGAAGATATGGTACGCATGGTCGTAAAAATCGAGAGCGAACTTAAACCTAAAGGGAATGATACATTCCATGTCGCTCCCACCTATGGCTCAAAATGGCTAAGGAAAGAGGAAATGAAATGAGTCAAAAT